GTAGAACACTCAAATACACCATTTCGATTTTTGATACCTCACTACTATAAAGGCTTGGTTTGGTCTGAAGTTTCATTCGGTGGTAGTGTCCAGGGTCACTGATGAGGACTGGAATTCCCCGAAACTAGTCTGGCCCACAGACATAACCCCAATGAAAGAATAGGCCATTCCAAGCTTTTACTTGTTAAACAAATGTTTAAACAACCCTGTTCAATAATGTGTCTTGTTTGGTTTGTTCTAAAGTCTTATAAACTTCCCATTAGATTTTCTGTGCCATTGATATATTTTGGAATGTAATAAAGGCTTCTTAAAAAGTCAGGTCTTTTGGCAGTAAAAGTTTTGACATTATTTGTATGTAGATTAGGCATAAAAGCTAGTTATATTTAATAATTGATACTCACAGAATCCATACCCAATTTTAGTGTAAACCATAAAGCAGAAACTCAAATGATGGAAAGAAAAAATAGGTTTTATAAACATAATTGTGGTAAAATTTGGTTTTTGATAATAAATGTCAGTGACATATACTTGTTTTTAGCATAAGTGTAATAACAAAGCTTAGTTACTTGCTTAGCTACATAAAGTACTAATATGGCAAAAACTTAGCCCAAAACAGTAATGTAAAGGTGGAAAACAAAGCAAAAAAGATGTGTTGAAAGGTTGTGTTTAATAACCTTTCAGGAACACACTTTGAAATTATTTCATGAACTAAATATTTGATGAAGGTGAGATTGAAAATTTGTGTATAAGGAGGAGATTGTAGTTAAAATGGTATGATTTCTTTTAAGTTATATGGGGGTGTCCTACTACAGTAAATTGGTGGTAAATAAACAATATCGACTGGTAGTTGCTGGCTCTAGTTCATGAAGTTGAAGCTTGTATTAAATATAATTTTTTTGTCTTGTCAGTCAGCTAGTTCTTTTGTTGTTTTAGGAGCCTGTACAAAAGATATGCTTTCTTGCGTTGTGATGATGAGAAAGAACAGTTCCTTTATCATTTGCTCACTCTGAATGCTGTAGATTACAAGTCCTTCACCAACACTTTTACCTCTACTGGTAAGTCAAAGTATATTTTAATTTTGTTACAGTTTTGGAATTGCAGCTACTAATACATTTCTCTTAACATGTTACAGTGACACAATTATTTCAAAGTTAAAAAAAGGAATTGGAATATCTTTATGGCTGCTCAGTTAAAAAAGTTTGGATAATTTTTCTTGTCACATAAAATTTACAATAGTCAAACCACTGATTAAATATTATTGCTCTAGTGTAGTAGTATTCATTTTTGTAATCTCATTCTATAGTAGATAATTATTTTAATAGATTAGTATCATGTGACGTGTTTTTTTCATTTTGGGCATAACATTGGATCTTTGTGATTATGCAGAGTGAGAAGTACCTTCTTGTTACTTGAAGCCCCATTTTGATATGTAACACTATCAAAGTAAAGGAGTGTAATCTCACATATTTATTGTAACAATTATTTCAGGATTTATGAGTTAAAATTCATTATTCCAGATTGTAAACTATATTTATAAAGTAATAAAAATTGTTATTATAAAGCCCAGTTTGTGTAGATACAAGTTTAATGTTTCTCCTTGTTCAGTGATGCCGTATCGAGTAGTAATCTTCCCAAGCCGAAAAATGAGTGCCTCCACCACCTCAGCAAATGCTTGGATCATTGTTTCTGGTATTTTGGGAGAAACTGGTTTGATTGAATTACCCAAGCAGAGTCTGGAGATTGTCTTCCAAGTAAGAAATTGAGTGAAATTGGTTTATTTCTTCTAGCTGGTTACTTCTGGTGTTTCTGTTTGCAACATAACAACATGTGTCTTCATACCTACTAGTTAGCTGAGCCTCTTACTGTGTCAATAAAGTTAGAACTTCATGAACAACTTGATAACTTCCTTCTGCTCTCATTGAATAAAGTAAAACTTTATTAACAACATAATAACTAGTTACTGCTTCCAAATAATTTTTATATGAGAGTCAAATTCCTTTTATTTCCCACCCAGGTTGATAAAACAGGGTAGTGTATAAGTTAGAATATTTTACTCGTTATTGCTTGTTTCTATTTATTTAGTTTGAAACAAGTTTTTCATTTTTTTACCAGTATCAGAAATAATTATTCAACCACCAAAATTGCTATAATATGGAGATAAATACTTGAAGATGATTTAAAATGCTGTTATTGAAAATATGCTACTGTAAATTTGTCAATAATATCCCATTCCCAAAATTTGAGTTCTTAGTCTGATGCATAGTCATCAATAATATGAAGTAATATTATGTAAGGTTTTCTCATAATATAGGCTTGCATGTATATGCACATTTTCATATATATGTATATATCAGAAAATCAGCTTAGTAAAAAGTTAAACTGTTCCCTATACAGTTTGCACAATTTGTAAAGGTCATGAATTTTTAGCCAGAACCTTAAGAAGGTCATGATCTGACTGACAGTCTTGAAAAGTACTTAAAATATTCACTCATTGGATATTAATAAAAAAATCCAGGTTTTATTTACAAAATCCTATTAGTAGATAATTTTCAGGCATGATACAGGTTATCATTTCTTGTTGATTCTATTGATTTATGTTAACTATAGGTTATCATTTCTTGTTGATTCTATTGATTTATGTTAATTATAGGTTATCATTTCTTGTTGATTTTAGTGATTTATGTTAATTATAGGTTATCATTTCTTGTTGATTTTAGTGATTTATGTTAACTATAGGTTATCATTTCTTGTTGATTTTATTGATTTATGTTAAAGTTATAGGTTATCATTTCTTGTTGATTTTGATTTCTATTAGTTATAGGTTATCATTTCTTGTTGATTTTGATTTCTATTAGTTATAGGTTATCCTTTCTTGTTGATTTTATTAATTTCTGTTAGTTATAAATTAGTTATAGGTTATAGTTGTTATTTTTTGTTGATTTTATTGATTTCTGTTAGTTACAGGTTATAATTTCTTGTTGATTTCTGTTTTGGGTTATAATTTCTTGTTCATTTTATTGATTTCTGTTAAAGTTAAAGGTTATCATTTCCTGTTGAATTTATTGATTTCTGTTAAAGTTATAGGTTATCCTTTCTTGTTGATTTTCTTAATTTCTGTTAGTTATAGGTTATTCTTTCTTGTTGATTTTATTGATTTCTTTTAAAGTTAGAGGCTATCATTTCTTCTTTTGATAGTATATTGTAGCAAGTTAGCAGTCTTCATTTTCTCATGTAATTTGTACTTGTCACTGATTTCATGGGACTTAATAGCTGTATTGCTCATCTTTAAAACAATAGAAGTTTTGTTGGCTATGATACAGTGATGAGTTTTTGCTTTGCTTCTGTTCACTCCTTGATCAGATATATACCATGCACTGTAACATGCACTTTAACAACCATGAACTTTAACTCACAAGGAAGAATGTGAAACAATAAAATCAACAGGAAATAATAACCTATAACTTTAACAGAAATCAATAAAATCCTTTTCACTCCCAGTAAAATTATTCAATTTCCATTAGTTTCAACTTACATGCTTACTGCAGGAACATTACAAAACATAATGGAAACTTTAGAAAGACAGGGTTACTTAAGATAACATAAACCAGAAAAATTATAATATAAAAACCTTTTCAGACCAAAGCTGACAGAAATCAATACATTTTTCCTATAAACAGTGTTGAAAAAGAACAAACAAACAAAGGTTTTTTAAGCTTCTTTTTACAAGTTACAGACATCATTACAAACATTTACAGTTATAATAATGACATTCAATGTTCATGTTTGGTGTAATTACAGTTACCAAAGTTTTAAAGATACTTGTAAGTGTCAAGTTTATCTTTGTTTTAATTGTTAATTTGTCCTCAAAGTTTAACTTCAGACCATTTCTGCATGAGGAGGATTGAATTCATATCAATATTTGTTACTCAGCTCTTCTTTTCTTTGCCAAAAGCAGTTTGTTTCTCATACACTTTTTTAAATAGTAAATTTATGAGGTTGATTGATCTTGATAACTGTAAGACTGAACAATGAAACTGTTCTATAAATAGATATTATTATGCCCACAGTTTGAAAAGAAAAAGGTAAAGGATATGTATATGTTAATTTAACAAAATCTTTTTGCATTATGTGGTTCATATTATCTGTTATCTAACTAGTTTGCTCTTCACCATATTATCATTTATGGTATTAGTCCAACAGAAGTTTCTATTGTTGACAAAGAAAGTAAATCCAGCTTACCTCTCGTTTGAGGTTCTTGTAAATCTAGATGTTAGCCCTTAAAAATGTTTGTTTGGAAAAGTCCTTGACTTTCTTATTCCAAAACTAGACTACTAGATTTGCCATTGGTGCAGTAATTGTAAAAGTTAGATATGGTACCTGGAAGTTTT